TGTTTGAATAATTAAAAATGAATGTATTGCAATTAAAAAGAATCGGGAAATACTATATATATATTAGAAACATTTGAATTATTGGGAAATAATTATAAATTTTCATCTCATTATAGTTAAGAGAAATGGGTAATGCACATATATCTTTACATAATGTGATAATAAAGTGGCATTGAATAAAAAGATGATTTAGATAGCAGAACACAAAACTGCCAAATTACAAAAATGCATAGCTAATTGAAATTTGTAAAAAAAGTGATGGAAGGCGAAGCTGGGAGGAAGAGGGATCCACTGCAACTGGAACTCCACCTCACAGCACTCAACATTTAGCAATCATCTTGTTATAAAAATCGAATGTTATAAAAATCGAAGTGATTGATACAATTCACACAAGAACAGGTACATTAGCCAAAATCGAAATGGTGATAAATTCTAAAATACACAATAAAAATTTCAAAATCTCACATATATATGACACAAATATTCAAATAATAAATTCTAAAAACCATAATTCAAAATAGAAAGGCTAGATCACATATACATACAAGATCTAGAATTAGGAATTAGGAATTTATGAATTAGTCACTTACGATAAAAGCCTGTCCAGGAGAGAGGCGATGCGGCCAGGAGAGCGGCGATGCGGCCAGGAGAGAGGCGATGCGGCCAGGAGAGCGGCGATGCGGCCAGGAGAGCGGCGATGCGGACCGAATAGAGGAGGCGATGCGGCCAGGACAGCGGCGATGCGTCCAGGAGAGCGGCGATGCGTCCAGGAGAGCGGCGATGCGGACCGAATAGAGGAGGCGATGAAGTCTGAAGGTAGGGAAGGTCGTTTTCGTTCAGCCGAGTGTGGGCGATGAATAGATTTTTGAATTTTAGGTTTAATGATTGAAAATACCACTTTTGGTTTTTAAAAATTTGAGTGTAATAAAACAAAATACTAACCATATGGCTGATTTAACTAAAATTCTTTAATGAAAATACTCCCTATGGCTGATTTAACTCAAATGCAATAAAACAAAATACTAACCCTAGTTTAGCCTTAACAAGATGACCCAAATACTTTTTTCGGATATTCTATTCATAATTTTATAAAATTGCCTTAGGACTAAAACATTCCAAAAGCACTTAGATAGAACTATTGTGTTTTTTCTCTAAATAGAACTATCATTACCTTTTTTACATTTATAGAGTCTTGGGGCGGTTAAAGGCCATTTCTGGAAATTTTCTGCCATATTTTCTGGAAAATTTCCGTTAAGCGGCGGCAATGGTGATGGCCGGTAGTGGTGGTGGCCGGAGGTCGGCGGCAGCCGGTGTTGGTGCTCTTGGGTGTCTTTAATTTCATTCGGTGTATTTTTTCTAATCACATATATTTAGTCCTATTTAGGGAAAATAAACATTGGGGTTCTATTTTTGCATAAAGTTTGTGTTTTACTCTTATTAAGGGAATTATCTGTGATTTTTTTGTGTCGTTTGTGCCCACGTATTTCTGTGATTTTTTTGTGTCGTTTGTGCCCACGGAGGTCGGCGGCAGCCGGTAGTGGTCTTTTCTGAAGTTTGACTCAGGTCCGATTTATGTATGATCGACACTGATAATAAAAATCTTAAAATTTTAAATAATAAAAATATTTAAACATGAAATTTTAAAATGATTAAAAAGAAATAAAATAAAAGTAAGGCTAATTATTAACTTTATGTTGAGGTTAATTTGCCCGATCCGAAGGCTCAACACCTTCCCCCGGACGGGTTGTGTAATGCACGAAATAGCTATAATAAAGAACAAATGATTTTTACGTGGAAACCCGAAAGGGTGAAAACCACGTGACTGTTTAGGCTAATGTCCAAGCTACTCTCACTTTATTAATATATCTCACTAGTGTTACAAGTTGCATCCAAGCCTCCATTAATGGAGGTTGGAGCTTTCTATCTCTAGGAACACAATGAAGAAGAAAGTGGAGAAGATCTAGTCTAGGGAGAAGAAGAGAGATCCCTAAAATAGGAGGGTGAGCCCCCTATTTATAGGAGGAGGGAGAGAAACCTAATTGGGCCTAATGGGCTGAAATGGACATATTATTATTGTCGGGCCTCCATACAACAATGGATTGGGCTCCATAAATAATACAAATAGGCCTGGGCTATAACTTAGCTCTGAATGCTAAGGTCTTCTTTTCTTGAGGCTCGGGACCGGGAGATCGGGACCGGAGGCTCGGGACTAGAGGCTCGGGACTGGAGGCTGGGGAGCTGGAGGCTCGGGCCCGGAAGTTTGGGTGCAGGAGGCTCGGGACCGGGAGCTCGGGACCGGAGGCTCGGGCTGTAGGAGTTGAGGCCGCAACTAGGGACTTGGCCCTAGAGGCTCGGGCTTGAACGATGAGGCCGAGGGTGCTGTGAACCGCTCGGGCCATGAGGACTTGGCTGACACCTAACCATAATATTCAGAGCATTAAATGTGTGTCCCATCCGAGTTCAGCAGTCCAATCAGCAGCATGGGTCGTCGAGGTCGGTTGGGGCGCTCGTCCTGAGCCCGAACGGAGGGGCATCCGCCCGGAAAGGTTCCGTTCGGCCAGGATCCGATCAGCAGCATGGGTCGTCAAGGCCGGTTGGGGTGTTCGTCCTGATCCCGAATGGAGGCATCCGCCCGGAAAGGTTCCGTTCGGCCAGGCAGTCCAATCAGCAGCATGGGTCGTCGAGGCCGGTTGGGGCACTCGTCCTGAGACCGAACGGAGGGGCATCCGCCCGGAAAGGTTCCGTTCGGCCAGGATCCGATCAGCAGCATGGGTCGTCAAGGCCAGTTGGGGCATTCGTCCTGAGCCTGAACGAAGGGGCATCCGTCCGGAAAGGTTCCGTTCGGCCAGGCAGTCCATTCAGCAGCATGAGTCATCGAGGCCGGTTGGGGCGTTCGTCCTGAGCCCGAACGGAGGGGCATCCGCTCGAAAAGTTCCGTTCGGCCAAGATCCGTTCGGCCTACTACAGGCCGACCTTGCGTGGCTACCTTCATGTTGGGTCTCGAGCGAGGTGGACCGTCAGACTGTAACACCCCCATTTCTACTTTCTAAATATAGTAACTTTAAGAACACTTGTGTAAATAAAAGAGCTTTCATTCATAAACAATCAAAGTATTGCAGCGGAAAACTTAAATAGGGCGTTACCGCCACACTGGGCCCAAAACTAAGCCCAATGCTAAGGCAACTAAAATGTACTTTGAAATATTGAACTTTAAGAAAATCACATGTCTTAACAAAACAATTATTTAAAGGTCTAAAATAATTAGTCTTCTATCTCGCTCTCGGGACGGTCAAACATCCACATAAAAATCTTCACCAACACCTGTTTAATAGGTATATGTATAGGGGAATGGGGAAAAGGAATAAAACAAAAATTAGCTTTAGAGCTAAATAAGTTCTACCCAATCCCGTACAAATAAATAATTTGCTAAAAATACTTTATTTAGTTTTGGGAAAAACGATATACTTATAGTATAAGGTTTGAAACTTTCCTTAAAATCTTTCCTTTAAAACTCTTCTTGTTTAGACTTCTCAAAGTCTTTATTAAAAATTCTTTTATATACTTCTCAAAGTATTTAATAAAAATCTTTCTTTCTTGTGTGGACTTCTCAAAGTCCGTTATTGTGGGCGGTGCTCAAAACTAACTTGAGCCCGGTGGACTGTTGTTACGGACAGCCACACCGATCCTACTCTGTACCTTAAGTGTATACACCCCCTAAAAAGGATTCCAAGCCTTCCGGGTAGTAATGAGTCCCATAGGTTTCGACGTTTGGTCTTCCCTATTATTAATCTTGAGTGACTAGTTCTACTACTACTTAAAATGGGATCATGCCCGATAAAAATATGTCGGTGTGGATTACCAACCCTTTTCTTATAACTTGCTAAAAACTTTCTTCTTCAGTAGTAGTAGACCTAAATCACCCTCCCTGTTATTTGGCAGCGTATTGCCCGGCCGCCAACCCAGAATGTAGAAAGTGGTCGCCGTGAGGAGTGGTAAGATTTGGCCTGGCTCCATCGAGGTGGAAGCTCGGGCAGGCCCCCTCCCGGACGGGATATAATCTTGCATTGTTTTCTTAGGCGATTCTTTCCAGGGCTGGTCTCTCCCTGTTGTCCTGCCATCTTTTCCGAAGGGAGGAAGTGGGGGTGATCTCCGTGAAAGAAGGCATTTGGATCCTGGAAAGCTCGTCCGCTCCTTTTGGGGTTGTGACTCTCTCGCCCAAGCGTTTTGCTACGGGAATTGGTCTCGACCGGGTTTAAGCCGATGTCGTTCAGTTGTCCAGTGTGTCATGATTTGCTACGGGAATTGGTCCCATCCGGGTGTGAGCCGATGCCCTTCGGCTGTCCAGTTTGTCATGTGCCGAGACTCGTTGTCCGTCGTGTGCCTGTTGGTGATCTGGCTCGTCGGAATAGTTGACCAACGAGGCCATTCTTCGGACGGGGGATAAGGGGGTATGTGTTGCCCCGTGGGACTCTTCCCTTGTGTATTCTTGGCGGTTGGCCATCATATGGAGGTGTGTGGCCATTTCCCTTAAGAGCTTTGGATTCGTCTGGGTTCCCCGGGAAAGGTTCCTCGTGAGTTCCCCCGGACGAGGATCAGAAGAGCGGGCGTCGGAGTAGTTATCTGACTGACTGTCCTCTTCCCAACGGCTTTTCGCTTGACGATGATACAGCCCGTCCGGGTTCTCTCCCGGACGGGGACTCTCGGGCCTTGAGGACTTGGCGCCGAGAACGCTCGGGCCTTGAAGCCAATTCTGACAATGATACAGCCCGTCCGAGTTCTGACGATAATACAGCCCGTCTGGGTTCTTTCTTGATGTTCCAGCCATTTCTTTGGTTTTATATGGATGTCTTGAGTGATTTTCTTAACTAAGGTGGAGCTTTTAGATTTTTACATTAGTTCCCCACAGAAGGCGCCAGTGTTGAGTTTAATGGTTCCTAGGCCCGAAGGTTCAACACATTCTTCGAGTTTATACGGAAGTAGAATAGAAGAAGTAATATATGGTAAAAGGTAAGACTTTATTAATATGTTAATACAGAGGCTCTATAACAATATATGGTCTTGATTACAAGACTCTTACAATAAGTGCTATTAAAGACTAAGCAAATATTAATAACTAAGAAAATGTTGATCTTGGGAAGAAGGTTTTGGCAGCCTTTAGGCATTAATTGGCAGAAATTCCCCTCCCTTATGCCACAAATAGGGGGTATTTATACCAAGGAGGAGTTGAGGCTAGGATGAGGTGGTAGCTCCAGATTGATGGCACACATATCAAGTACTAGGCCTGATTGCATTAAATGCATTGGTGAGCAAGTGGATGCTCGGGCGGTTCCTTTGGGTCCTCTCCAGGACGGGGATGCTCGGGCGGTTCCTTTGGGTCCAGCTCCTGAGAAGTAGGCACACTCTCGAACGAGGCTTTGCGTCCCGCACTACTACATTTTTAGACCTAATGTAACATTAATGATGTAACATATCTATAATAGTGTTACCTATTTCTCTAATGTAACACTTTTTAGATCTAGTGTAACATTTTCTAGAAGTATAAGTCTTACATTAGGTACTATAAAGTGTTACAATAGATCAAATGCAACACCAGCAAATGTAATGGTAAAAAAATGTTACATTTTCCATGAAAAGTGTTACATTAGAGAAAATGTAACATTTTTTTACCATTACATTTGCTGGTGTTGCATTTGATCTATTGTAACACTTTATAGTACCTAATGTAACACTTATACTTCTAGAAAGTGTTACACTAGGTCTAAAAAGTGTTACATTAGAGAAATAGGTAACACTATTATAGATATGTTACATCTTTAATGTTACATTAGGTCTAAAAATGTAGTAGTGTCGGCCGGGTCCTCTCCCGGACGGGGATGCTCGGGCGGTTCCTTGGGGCCAGCTCCTGAGAAGTAGGCACACTGTCGAACGAGGCTTTGCGTCCCGGCCGGGTCCTCTCCCGGACGGGGACGCTCGGGTGGTTCCTTTGGGTCCAGCTCCTGACAAGTAGGAACACTCTCGAACGAGGCTTTACGTCCCGGCCGGGTCCTCTCCCGGACGGGGATGCTCGGGCGGTTCCTTGGGTCCCGCTCCTGAGAAGTAGGCACACTCTCGAACGAGGCTTTTGCATCATGGCCGGGTCCTCTCCCGGACGGGGATGCTCGGGCGGTTCCTTGGGGCCAGCTCCTGAGTAGGCACACTCTCGAACGAGGCTTTGCGTCCCGGTCGGGTCCTCTCCCGGACGGGGATGCTCGGGCGGTTCCTTTGGGCCCAGCTCCTAAGAAGTAAGCACACTCTGGAAAGTCGTTGATGTAACACCCACAAATTTCCCACCCAAAAATACCTTTAAATAAAACATTATTTATTACTTTATTTGAAAACATCAGAATTGTGCAGCGAAAAAACAAAGAGAAATAGGGGCGTTACCGCCACACTCGGTTCCGACCTAACCGAGTGCACAGGCTAACCACTTCTCAAATAATTTAACTCAAAATAATATTAATTAAATAGAGTTCTTGAAATTAAAATATACAATGATTTACTAATTATATTTTCTAGCGGAAGCTCTCTCGAATTCAACTTCAACAGGATCAAACCACCACCTCTACAAAATCAAGTACAGAAGGAAAAACACAAACAAACAAAATTAGCCGGAAATGCTAGTAAGTCCCATCCAACCCCGTAAAACAATCATGTTTGATACATTTTTGTAAAACATCTTGGAGGAAACCTTTTTCAAAACATTTTATATAAATCATAAATAAAACAATATATACAAAATATTCTCATAACACAATTCATATGTAAAATATTAATTTTTCAAATATAAGTACTTATTTCAAACCATAAAATTCCAAAATACCAATGTACATAAACCACCAAATATTCTCACAATTATTCCAAAGTATAAATCAATCACCAATATTCATCTTGAAATAGTTATAACTACTTCTGAACAATATTCAACATAATCAACCCAAATCAAACCCAAAAGTATTTGTACTTCGGGAATCCATAAATAATTTTATTATTCAAATAACAATTATAACTCAAAATAAACTTGTATAATTCGAAATCACATTTTTAATTAAAATAATAATTCAAACACTATAAATACCCATTTCTCAAAATAAGAGCTAAATACATCATTTCTCAAAATACGTTTATGAACAAGAAGTAATTCACATAGTAGGGTGAAAATACCATTTCCTTAAATAATTAGTCTTCAAAATAACTTTAAATTTCATTCAACCAAATAGTATTTCTCCAAACAAGTACTTTAACAACTCTTACGAGTAAAGTACTAAAATATTTTCTCCAACTCTTTATACTAAGGTCCCTAAGTAATTTCGAAGGGCGGTGCTCAATATTTTTAATTGAGCCCGATGGTCCGTCCTTATGTACGGCCACCCCGGGACTTTTGCCGGTATCACTTCTAACCTGAGGAAACTGAACATCTACCTTAAGTGTGCACACCCCCTGAAAGGGATTCCAAGCCCTACGGGTAGTAAGAAGTCCAAGTAGTTCGGACGTCAACGTCCCCCTACTCCACCAAAAAGGGATTACCCTATATAAGTGACTAGGTTACTGCTACTACTGAATAACAGGGTCTTTTGCCCGAATTTTAACACTCTCCACAGTCAAGGTCGTGGACACCAACATAGAAATTTTCCACAGTCAAGGTCGTGGACACCGACATAACAACTCTTTTATGAGTAGACAAGTAAAAGCAGGCCTAATCACTCTCTACAGTCAAGGTCGTGGAGGACACCGACACCCCGGATTTCTCATGTGATGCACTTACATTAAAAGGTTCATTTTATCTATATTAATCTCCAAAAATTTCAGGGGTTTACTACTCACGTAACTTCCCCAAATTTAATTTAATCAACAGTAAAATCATCACATAGACATATCCTAAAAAAATGTAACTCACAATTTACAAAATAGTTCACCTTCTCAAACACCATAAAATATTGTTATTTTTAGTATATTCCAAAATTTCATAGCTATCACACATACATATAGTTTTCCAAAATACGGGTTACTTTATCCTTTGAACTTTAAGGTCAAAAATTCTCAAAGTGCTCAAAATATAGAATAATTCATAAATAGTTCAAGTCTCAATCCAAATAACGATTCACACGTAAATTCAAATACTCAAAAATAATACTACCTCCGTCCCTTAAAACTTTGTCAAAGTTGACCGGCACGGAGAATAATAAAGTAAAAATTGTGTGGTTAAGGTTTGTGCAGAGGAGAGATAAATAACAGAAACCACAAAATAATTGATTAAAAGAGAAAGTGGCAAAGTTTTTGGGGACATCCCAAAAAGGAAAGATGGCAAAGTTTTAAGGGACGGAGGGAGTATCATCCAATGTCAGATATTATAACCAACATAATTTCCAAACACAAATAATACATAAATTTAAATACTAAAAATCTCATGAAGTATAAAATACTCAAATAATTTCAATGAAAAATCATACATATATTTACGAGGAAAAGTATAAATTTTAGTTGACATAGTACTTACCTCAAATCACGTTAATTCCTAACCAAAACTTTTATCTCGATCTTCTCCAAATTCACCTTCTAAAAAATATTAACATTCTAGAATTAATAATTATTTCACTTTGTTAATTTCTTTTTGGTCCAATAATCCAGGTCTTTACTTTTATTCAAATGTATCTAACACAATCATTCAACCTTGTGATTTTATCCATTTAATTTGATGTGGTCTAAACATACAAATACCAGTCCATTACCAATTGTTATGCGGCCCATATAAACTCAGTCCAGCCCAAGAACATAAACGATTATGGAATAGAACTCAGAGTTACGTACATTTCGGGGTCTTCTGACTCTTCTCCTCCAAGGTGTGCGATCCAAGCAGAGAGAAAGGAAACCGGCAGCTCTGCAGATCTGCGGCGATTCCCCAGTCGCCTCTGGTGGAGTGAACTGTAATTGATCTGCGGCGATTCCCCAGCCCATGCTCCCGTGCGCCCGTACGCCCGTGCTCCCGTAGGCCCGTACACCCGTGCTCCCGTACGCCCGTACGCTCGTACGCCCATGCTCCCGTATGCCCGTACGCCCGTGCTCCCGTGCTCCCGTAGGCCTGTACGCTCGTGCTCCCGTACGCCCGTACGCCCATGCTCCCGTGCTCCTACGCGCGAAGAATGACATATTGAAGACGAAGATGTCACAGGTCTTCTATGGCCCGGGTGGTCGGTTGTGACTCGTACGCCTGTACGCTCATACACCTGGTATGCCTGTACGCCAAGTATGCCCGTACACCCGTACGTCAGTGCGCCTATACGCCCGTACTCCCGTACGCCCGTGCTTCTGTACGCCCGTACGCCCGTGCTCCCGTATGCCCGTACGCCCATGCTCCCGTTCTCCCGTACGCCTGTACGCCGGTGTTCCCGTGCGCCTGTGCTCCCGTGCTCCTGTGCTCCCGTACGCCCGTACGCCCGTGCTCCCGTGCTCTCGTGCTCCTACGTGCGGAGAATGACAGATTGAAGACGAAGATGTCACATATCTTCTATGGCCCGGGTGGTCGGCTGTGACTCACTGACGTGCAGCCATACACCTTGAGCATGACTAGTCGAAGAAATCCAGGTCAACCCCGAGAGACCGGAATGGAAGGTCAACTTAGGTGCAAGACTTACGACCGAGTGCAGAGCACCTTGCCAAATCCTATGAGCGGAACACCGCAAGCTTGTTGATCAAGTACAAAGTGCATGGCACCTTGGCAAAATTTAGGAGCGGAGCATTGCACGCTTGTTGATCAAGAATGTAGCGTAGGGCACCTTGTCAAATTCTATGAGCGGAGCACTGTAAGCTCGCAGATCAAATGCTGAGCGCCGGGCACCTTTTCTAATCTTGTGAGCGGGGCACCGCAAGCTCGTTGATCAAGTGTGGATTGCAGATCAGCTCTCTCTCATTCTATGAGTCCATCATCACAAATTGTAAATCAAGTGTAGAACTCGAGGCAACTCCTCAAGTTCTCAAATTCTTTTATTACTTAAAAAAAGAAAATCTTTCGTTTTCTAGTCTGGAACTTAATGAGGTCCGACCTCACTTGGAAATGAACGGGCGGCGGCAAAAAAAAAGAAACAAAAAAAAAACAAAAAAAAAACGCAAAAAGAGAGAAAAAAAATACTATGATACCCCGCTCTCGGTGTTTAGACGACCATGGCTCAATCCTCGGACAAGGAAATGATCAAACTATTTTCTAAGTCTAGGAATAGCTTCTCTGTCATGGCGACCATAAGACCAGCCTCCGGGTCGAAAAGGTATGCGAGAGGTCGTGCCCCGAGACCCTCTTGTATATCCATTGTCTGACGTTGCCGTCTAAACAGCTCGCATGCACGTATGATCCAATCAACAATGCGGCAACTATATGACCGGTCTCTAGGCTGAAGGTATGCGAAAGGTTGTGCTCTGAACCCCTTTCGTACATCAGTTGTCTAATGTTGCTAGGCTTAGCAGCCCGCATACGCGCTTGACAGGATCAACGGTGCGGGTCCGTTCTGGTCTGATCATGCAGGGCCTTGCCCTTACGTTTGGCCAACTTCAGTTCGACTTTCAGAAAGGGAATAGCCAAAATGTTTCCTAAGTATGAAACTAGCTGTACAAGTCAAGATGTAAGACCGGCCTCCGGGTCGAAGGTATGCGAGAGATCAGGCCCCGAGCCCCTCTCGTACATCCGTTGTCTAACCGATGGCCGAACAGCTTGCACACTCATCAGTCATAGATCAATAGTGTGCGGGTCAGCCCGCCTTACCAAGCAGGGTGCGGTCAAGGTCGGTCCTACCAACCTTCCGCCCCTGACGGCCTAGGTGGGAAGCCAGATCCCCGATTAGTTCTCCAAGTATTCTTGAATGAAAAACGACTAAGAAAATTGAAAGAACGAATGATGCATTCAAGCTCAGGCGATAAATCAATCGCGGAGAACAACTCCAAGATCATCATTGCCCATCTTCTCCGCCTCATCATGGGTAGTCTGCATATCATGCATGCCACATCTAAAAGAGAACAAGGCCTCCTTTCACACCAATTGCAACCCTCCTTGGTCCGCAACTGAGCTTGGACATACTCCGGACGCCGATCCTCGATCCAAGAATTGACAAGGTTCGGAAACTTTAGGAAGACCTTGAACATGGAAACTGCCTCATCTACTATGTCCTCAACGCTCGGACATGCTTTGGTGGCTGGGCCTCGAGCCTAGATCTTGCGAACTCTGAAATCACTGGGAATGCTTTAACGCTGCAACTACCTTATGCCTTGCATCTCAGGACAACGACTCCAGCTGGTCTTACTTTGATACAGGCTCGGATGAAACTTTCATATCTTGGGTCGCAGCCACGCTTGGGTATGCTCCGATCATTTTCTCCAAGGCAAGATGTGCACCTTCAAGGCATCCTATGTTTTCTCCATCCACTCCTGAGCCTAGACTACCTGAAGCTGGTTCAAGCTCTTCTTTACAATTCAAACCAAGTACGTGGTCATGGCGAGGCCACCGATCATCACCTCACCATCCATGTCGAGTTACGCACACTCATCTCCAGCCCAAGTTCGTGCAGGGCTACCTCCAAGTCAAGTTCGTCCAGGGCTGCCCCCTCACCGAGGTTGTGTGCGCGTGACAGTGCATGGCTTACGTATGGGCTCATCGATAGGTGAGAGCTCGCCCAAGCTCCGAGCTCGGGACTCTCACTCCTAAGAATAAATCATGGTCGGTCACACATGCCATCACAAGGTGGAGATTCCGTAACTTACGCATCTTCTACGTCAAGCTCGTCATCCTGGTATATGGCCATGTTTGTGCAGAGGAACGAGATTGTCTATCTTTCCAAACCACCTACGATCAAGCGATGCTCTCACAATGTTAGAGAGGCACGTATCGATGCATAGCTTGGAAGCTCGAATGCAATCACATGTCACCCTCGTCAATAATCATTCATCAAGACGAAGCAAAGTGGAAGTCTTGCCTTCCTCACCATCCATGATGTTCAGAGACCATTAAGATGACATGCTCTCAATGAAAACACCATCCATGATGTTCAGAGACCACAATGTTAGAGAGGCACGTATCGATGCATAGCTTGGAAGCCCGAATGCAATCACATGCCACCCTCGTCAATAATCATTCATCAAGACGAAGCAAAGTGGAAGTCTTGCCTTCCTCACCATCCATGATGTTCAGAGACCATTAAGATGACATGTCACTCCGACCTCCCTCGAATCACAGCAGGTGGGGGGCACCTTGGGCTCCTCGTCACACGAGAAAATAGGTGCAACCCCCCGATCACTGGCATGAATGAGCAGACCTACAAAAGAACTCTCTCATCGATTCAACAAACGACAAGGAATGAGTCACCCAAGCATTGCTCTCTTTCCCTGAATCAATTCAAGGGGTCGTCCAAGCATCGCTCCCTTACTCTGCATTAGGGCGTCCCCCCTCCAAGCATCGCTCTCAGTCTGGGATCTTACATCCACCCTGGGGAAACTTGAACGACAAATGACACCGTAGTAATAGCAATCAATAGGGACTACTTATCATGGTGGACTACTCACAGCATCCTTCTGAGAACGTCAGACGAGCATTGTCACAAGTGAAGACCGGTATTTGTCATTCCCTTAGCAGATGGCGATCGTTGCAGCTTCACGCAGTGCTCGGAGGGCTCACCTTGTTGCTGAATTTGGAAGAAGACCCTGGACTGCTAATCGGATAGACAAGACCCGGGGCTGCTAGACGGAGAAACAAGACCCCGGTCTGCTAGTCGGAGAAACAAGACCTCAAGCTGCTAATCTGACAAACAAGACCCCGGGCTGCTGGTCGAACAAACAAGACCCGGACTGCTACCCAGACGAAGGAAACCAAATCCTTTCGCAAGCAGCGGGGAATAATGTGGACAGCGTGCAACCGGCTTTTTCAGAGCATGCTTCACCTGATCACCATCAGCGGACAACTGAGCTGTTGGCCTCTCCCGAGCACACCTCAGCTCGACATCATCGACAGACAGTTGAGTCGTTGGCCTCTCCCGAGCACACCTCGGTTCTGCGTCATCAACAGACAATTGTGCAACTAGTCTCTCCCGAGCATACCTTGGCTCGACCGCCTCCACTGGCAAACAACCGTAGGACTGGCCTTCTCGAAACATATCTCAACTTACCAGTAAAGCATACACTCAATCAAGAACCGAGGAGACTAGCCTTCCTTAGCTTTATTTTAAGGTTCCGGTGTACTCTTTTTCCTTTACTGGGATTTTTTCCCACTGGGTTTTTTCCTAGTAAGGTTTTAACGAGGCACCCCCTCATCATGAACAAAAGAAGAGGTCTCCCAGTCGGAACAAGGAAGACTCCATTCTTTCACAAGCAATTGGATCTAATTCAAGGCTCGCCAATGACCGACCGACCGGACCAAGAATCGGACCAATTCCAAAACAGCTTAACTACTCCCTTTTAGCCGAGTCTACTACTCGACTAAGGGAGTGGGGGACTCGTGTTGGGATAATGGGACGGGTCCAAGACTATCGGCCCATTACACCCGAGCTTTGGCTCGACCAAGCTCACATCACAGTCCGGCTAGCGGATATTGGCCCGGGATTATTCAATTACTTATTGGGCTTGCTGGCCCATTAGCGTTAGTAATAGTAGATTAATCGGGCCAGACCCACGTAGCACTTAATTGGTGGGCATATTGTATACGTCTATAAATAGGCCATCAACCCCTTGTATTCTGCTGAGTTATTCTCACTATACTGAAATGCTGCCGAATTTTCTACCCGGGTTATTTTCTACCAACAACTATAAATACCCATTTCTCAAAATAAGAGCTAAATACATCATTTCTCAAAATACGTTTATGAACAAGAAGTAATTCACATAGTAGGGTGAAAATACCATTTCCTTAAATAATTAGTCTTCAAAATAACTTTAAATTTCATTCAACCAAATAGTATTTCTCCAAACAAGTACTTTAACAACTCTTA